TATATATATATATATATATATATATATATATATGAAAAGTGGACCATGTCCAGAGAATTTGCTATGTTTAAGTTGCTCTTCAGTTTAGCTTTGTTAAACCTGCCATGTATTTTTGAAATTCAGCATCACTTACTGGAACCACATCAGCGGAGAGCTGTTGTGTGTTCAGCTGACTGGTTTTGTGTCTTGTTGAACTTGCTAAATGTAAGGCAAGCTCATGTGTGTTGTAATCTAATCACAATTTTGTCAACATGGCCTTGGCTGTGCGTTAACTCTGGTATGCATTTAGCCTTTGTGTGAATGTATTGAAAAACATGTTTCATTTCAAGGTTCTGCAGACATAATTGGGCAGATTAATTCTGTTAATTCAGGTTAATTCTCTTAATTCTGATGGAAGTAAGCTAGTACAAAAAGCGTGACCTAGAAGACCAAAACCAGACAAAAAGAGCTGCTGGAATTGACATTTTTTCAGAGAACTGGGGAGAATCTGGTTATACTTTCAGGTTAGTAGAAAGTGAGGAATTGAGGTGTCCGTTGATTAACTCATGGGGACCAGGGAGGGGTTCTCCCTTCCTTTGTCTCCTGCTTCTGGTCTGGGTACTTGCCAGCCCTCAGGTGGTAGGCTGGCTCAAAATGCTTCTTGAGGAGAAACAGGTTTCCAGATGTTGAGATTGACTTAGTAGAGATTGACTTTGGACCTTTTCTTTCTGCTGTGCAGAGTAATTTTAAAAAAACTTCCACTTGGAGATAGAGCAACGTTTGTGTCTTATTTTGTACATTATTTGGTGCCTGCATCACTGTTGAAGGCATTGAAGGGTCTGTATAAAGCATCTTTTGAACTAGAAGGAAACCCCAAGCCTCTGCCACCTCCTTGCACCCTTTGATTTCAGGCCCTTTGGTTTCAGGCGAAGAAAATGAAACTGGCCTGGGAGGGTCCTGCAGGGACTGTCTTGAGATGGCAGGGTGCAGGTGGGCGTGGCTGGGTCCCTGAGGGAGGTGGGAGAAGGGGCTTGGGCTCGGCACCCCTCCCTGGTCAGCTGGGGTCTCTCCCACTTCCCATGTTGGCCGCGTGGGGGCAGCACAGACACATGTCGGTGGCAGTGTGAGACAAGGGCTGCCGCCTGCAGGGGAGGGCATGGCCATTTGCCAAGGTTGACTGCTTTTGCACACAGTCCGTGGCTCATGTGGATTATGGGTATTCTGGCCTGGCGCAGGCCACAGAGCTGGAGGGACGCTGTGGGGATGGGAATTGGGGCCCCTGGGTGGAGATCGAGTCTCCGCTGCTGCCCCCCCTCGCAGAGCCCCAGGGCCTCAGCCTGAGCCACCTGGAATCCTGTCCTCTGACCAACCTTGGCCACTCACTGGTACCGTAGTGCCCCAGGTCGTCCTCCGCTGGCTTTGGGTAGATGACTGCTTTGGCCTCCAGGAAGGTAGAGAGGGGAAGGAACTGGAACAAGCCCACTTCCCGTGGAGTTTAGGCCCCTGTTTCACTTGTACAGACGAGGCTCTGCCAGTGCTTTAGGTGTGTCGTGTCTGTAGGCTTTCTGTTCCCACAGTTCAACAGAGGAGCGAACCTGTGAGGCCACACAGGCAGAGCGCCCCTCCTGCCTTTCACTTGTCTTCCACCTCCGCGGACCCACCACTTCCCACCGGCTCTTGAGCTGGCCCCCTCTGGACCTGCCTCGCTCTGTGACCTCACTTTGCACGTTGTGCTTAGCTTACACCGTCACTCCATTGGGAGGGTACTTGATAGGTCACCAGTGAGTCTTGTTACTAAATTTAACGGACATTTCATGTCCTCATCTTCCTCAGTTCTAACACAGACCTCTCTTGCTTTTCCTTCTGCCTTCCAGGGCCCTTCTGTCTCTGCCAGTTTACTCTCTGAAGATAATTCAGTATTGCCAGCCCCAGACCAGTCGTGATTTCCCTAAGCAGTCATCAGCATGCACCTTGACTCTGATTTCCAAGGTAGCGTGCCCAGCCCCACGCCTGCCTCTTGAGTTCCAGTCCCAAGGCAGTGACTGCGTTCTTCTCCCCCTGCTTGTCTGTCTCTAAGGCCGTCCCTACACAGAAGTCCTCTTCATTCCCTCCAGCTTGTGAGATGCACATAAACTCCAGTCACCATTGCCAGCACCCTGGCCTAAGCTATTGCCGTCTTATCTCAGCAGTTATCCCTTCCATTCTGACATCCATGTGGTAGCCTGAGGGTCCCACCCCACACTCCCCACCAGAGGCAGTGGGGGGTGGCTGTGGTCATGGTCTAGGTGAGAAAGGAAGGTGGCCTAAACAAAGATGGGAACAGCAGATGGCCCAGTGGGGAGAGGATTGGGGTGTGGTGACTGGATATGGGGTCGGAAGTTCTGTAAGGGCACTGAGGCTTGTTGGGGAGCCTTGGTTTTGGACTGTGATTGATACCAAATAGGCAGCTGATGTTTGGGTTGAAGGTAATAGACCTGAGAATGAGGAGCTAGTAGGTGCGTAAACTAGGTGGGATTTAGGGACCACCAAGGTAGAGACTAACGCGAGGTAGGCAGAGAGGGGAAGGGCTGCCAAGGAAAGTGAAGGGTCAGAGACAGGCCTGGTGGGGGTCTACTGCTCAGGAGACTGAGGGCAGCAGCCCTCCAGGCACCTACATTAAGAGGAGAATAAGAAGTGGCCCAGATTTGGCTGCAGGGTCATGGATGGCCTTGAGGGGAGCAGTTTCCCACAAGCTACGGGGCAGGAGCTGACCTGCAGAGGTCCTAGTGGGGTTGCTGAGAACAAATGGCAGCTGCTACAGGGTAACTGTGGACCAAGAGATGTTTTTCTCCTCCTAACCGAATAGTTGTAGGTTGGATATAGCTAAAGGGGTGGGGTGCAGGCCAGTTCTGCCACTCAACCCGAGCACTAGTATCGTATTTGGGAAGCTGCTCAGCTGTGTCTAGCGCATCTGCGGAGCTGAGGCCAGGGTTGCGGGTGGGGCCTTGGCCTCTGCCTTCTCCTTCACTGTGGCCTCGTGTTTACTCATCACCATGGACCTGCACCCCGCACCACAGGAGGAAACAAGCCAGAAGCTCCGTAGCCAGAAGCTCCGTCATCACAATCACCTACCTGTCGCTGGTGACCAGCTCAGTTGGATCAGAACTAACCTTGACTTTCCAACTCTTGTTACATGGCCTTGAGGGGGGGGTGTTGGTGACCATGAGTGGGTACATGCTTAACATGAAGTATTTTTCAAAATTTGCTTTTTATTTACATTTGTTTAAGTCAATTACATGCATGTTTTATTTTTAAACGAGTAATTAGCAAAAAATGCATTAAAATTTTAAAATAGCAATTAAATATACAAAAATATAGCTTACAAAAAACTGCGAATGTTTAAAAATATTCTGCTGCAGAATTCTTAGTGTACAAACACGTCTATGAAACCTGAGGCTCAGCATTTCATAAACCTTTTTTTGAAGGGGTTATATAATATCTAGAGAAGGAACCCCAATGGGCTAAACTACAAGACTAAACTACCCCTCTTCCTGTCAAGAGACCCAGAGACAAAGTTATCAGGAAAACTATCTTGGAAGACAGGTCACCAGGAGGGACTTGGTAACACTGGCCCCACCTGCCTACTGGCTCTAGTGGAGCCTGGGAGGGGAAGGGAGGGGCAGACGGGGATGGCGTGCAGCTGGCCCAAGGCGCAGATCCTCCGGGCTTGTCCTGGCACAGAGCTGAAAGGAGCTTCATCAAAGGACAAATGAGTCCCTTGACACTGGTGGGGCCCACTTTCTAGGTCCATGTCCCTGGAGCAGGCAGGGGGTTCTCCCTGACCCCGTAACCACAGAAGTGAGCACTGGATTGGTAAGCAGAGAGTGCTGATTCTTGGTCTAAAAGTGGAGTAAAACTGGAACAATTTGGCCTCTAAAACAACTGGAAAAATGACAGATGATCTAACAAGCCTCTTTTTCTCCTGACACTCAAATGGAAGTACATTAATCTTATCTGTTTAAGAACCATGGCCCAGCATTTGCTAGTTAACTCCAAATTTCACCTGTATTGTTCCATCGTGAATTTAGACATGTTCATCTTCACTGAAATTCGTAACAGCTAACATGAAAGACACTAAACTCAGGGCCAGAGATTTAAGTGACAGATGGGAGTTGCACATATAATTCCTATTCAAGTTTCAGGTCAGGGGCTCAAGTTGTACTCAGAATCCTGAGGAAACCATAGGCTGTTGCTCTGGGTGGCAGGACACTGGGCAGGTGGGTGACGACAGAGAGGCATGAGTCGATACCACACTCCCCAGGGCTGCCGGAAGGAAGCAGCTTTAATCTGGGGCCAAAAATGAACTCAAAGTATCTTTTAAAGATGGGGTGATTTAGGTCATAAAATGGAGAAAGTGTTGGCTTCAAGAACATTCTGTGGAGGGCCGGCTGAGTGGCTCAGCTGGTTAAGAGCTCGCTCAAGAGTGCGAGCTCTGAGCAACAGCAGTTCGAGTCCCGGCCCGAGCTGAGCTGCCAACAGGTGGCGGGATCGCTCAGCTAAGAAAAAACAAGCCATTCTGTGGATAGCATTTTCTTTGTGTGCAAGGGGGGGGGGGGAAGGGAGCCAGATCCATGAACATCTTTCGTTAATTCTGAGACTGGCCAACTACTTGCTTAGCAACATCTGAGACATCTGCCCAAGATTGATGTCTCAGCAGTCAGTTGCTGCTGCTGCTCAAACTCCTGTCTCAAAAACGTGAGCTCACCTAAGAAAGTAAGACTTGTCACCAGACGTCACCGCTGGACGGGCTTCACCTGGAACCGGCCAAGGTGGGGGTGGAGGGCAGCTTGTCCAGGCCACTGCAAAGGCTGCTGGACCTGGACGAGGCCCGCACTGCTGTTCTTAGCTACAGAGCCTGCTCTTGAATGTCCTGTCAAATCAGTAAGAGTCGAAATAGGTTGTGCTGCGTTATCTGGACATCTGTGGTAAGGGGGGGAACTGCCGTTTCTTATTTGTATACAAAATCAGTTCCAGTGTGCTGCAATCAATAAACCTTCCTTATTCAAAAGGAATGTGATTGCAAAGTCATCCCCCAGTTCTGGGCTCACCTTTTACAGATATCCTGACTTCTGGTATTGCTCTTCCCACATGAGTAGGAATACTCCACGAAGACAGTTCTCTAGTACCACGTGAGTTAAAAAATTACATACACACACGTGTGTGTATTTGCTTGTACATGCATAAATGACCTCTGGAAGGATACACAAGGGACAAAAGTGGGTGCTCAAGGGGTGAGAAGCTGGGCTTGCTGCAGGTCAGGGATGAAAGGACTGATTTGTGAACCATGTGATGAGATTACCTATTTAAAAGACATGTTCAGTGAACAACAAATGGGGAGCATTGTGGGCAAATGCAGATGGAGGTAAGTAGAGAAGATGGGGAAGAGGGAACCAGCAGACCTGGGACAGCAGAGGAGCCCTACGTGACCACGACCCCCAGGCCTGTCACTTGCCTGCCAGGCTCTGGACATGGTGAAGCCTCGCAAGAGCCAGTAAGGACACCATTACAATCCCTGGGTGGCAGATCAGGAGACAGACTGAGGCTAACTGGCAGAAAGGCACATGGCTGTGAATGGCAAAGGGGGGTGGTGCAAATCCCTTTAAGCACTTCCTGTCCAGAACTCTGGGGATGCTTCCCAGTGTGCATTTCATAATTCCCAGAAAGCCTCTCAGAAAAGTAATCACAATGGTCATGAGTAGCTTAGCAGAGTGGAATCAGGTCGTGGAGATAACAGGCTTTGGAGGCTGTGGAAAGGGACAGGGCCTGAGGCCATTTCTCTGATGGATCCTGGGAGCTTGACATTGGGGAAAAGGCTCTCTGCATTTATCAATTTGTCAAGATGTGAAGAACAGGCTATCTGGCAACGGTGGGAGGTCCCTGTACCCCTCAGCCCAGATTTCCCTATGGGCCACCTTCTCCCTTCCAGGGACAGGCCTAACCAAATCACACTGTGGCAAAGAGTGACAGATGACAACCAAGACTCAAGCCAGGCTGGATCTGTTCCATTTCTAAAGCCAGCTGAATTCAGTTGTGCCCCTGGCAGCAACTAGATAATGATTCAGCCACCAGGGGAATCCAGTTGGGGTTGAGTTCTACTCCACTAACCCATGGCACACAAGTAACACCCAGTCTTGGAGCTGCTTAAGATGCATTAAGACAAAGTAAAAAAATCACCATGTCATAGCCAGTGGCCCAAGAGCAGATCAGAGTCCCCACATGTCTACAGATTAACAAAAGGTCACTGACAACTCTTGGAGCTAGAGGTGGACAGGGCAGCCTCACTGTGAGGCGTGAGCTGAGCCAAGTGTATTAAGGGATTCCTGACTCATTCTTTAGAAAAAAGTCCAGATGAAAATATAACCTTGTCTGTCACACAAAACTGATTTTAATCAGAACGGAAGGAAGACGTAAATGAAACCCCAGCCATATGCAGTTACAGCAGTGCAGCACGAGTCCTGGAGGAGGACCCAGATGTGGGGGGCAAATGCATTCAGGTTGTGTTGCTGAGTTGCAGGAACTACTGCCAAGTGACACTGGCCATGTAGCAGTAGGTCACCAAGCCAAGAAAGGGGAGATGACTATAAGCAGAGCAGGCACTCAGCATTCCAGCGTCCAGCCCCACCCCAGTGGAAGAGCTGCATTTTAAAAAGCCTTCCACATTCACAAGTGTTGAGATCATGTTAGTGGCACCTCATGGGGCACAGCAGACCCACTGGTGCCCAGTGGAGACTGCACAGCACACACGAGCTTTCCTCCACAGGCCAAATTATTTGGGCTCTGTGCCTCTGGGCCAGTGCACCAACCATCTCAACTTGCCTTTAGCTGTCACAGAGTGAAATGAATTAATCTACCTTCCTATGAATACAGGGACTCGGTGAGACTCTCCTTGGGACTGACACAAAAGGACAGAAAAAGGCTGTAATCCTACAAAGACTGAATCAAAGCAATTTGCAAAATAGAACACAAGCATTCCACCTTTGTTGGGAAAAAATTCTCTTTCCTATTCAAACACCAAAATGACAAGATGACATTTGTCCTAAGGCCATTCCGTGGAAAAGGGTGGGTGTTGGCCATTAATGAGGCTAGTCCAGAAACAAGCCTACTTCTGACATTGGTCACTGAAAACATTTCACTGTAAACTGGGTGCTTTGCAGTATTCGACTATTGTGCTACGAATAGAGCGCGCAGAAACGAGGGTGAACGGGGGAGTGCACAAATAGTTCTGTTCATGTGTACCAAACAGGCTCAGGCTTTCATGTAAAAATATTCCACACTTTCCTTGCCCTGTTTAAGAAGCAGTCCAGTTGGCATACCACGAATAGGTCACACATAAGAAACAGCCAATTCTGACCAACTGGATTTGTAATTTTCCAAACTGGATTCTGCCCAGCACTTTTCTAGGCTAATGGGAATTTTCCTCATCATCTGACCCCAGCCGCCTGAGCCAAGGACAGGTTCCGTCTTCCATTCTAAGATGGCAGAGGCTGGATTCCAGAAAAAATTCCTAGAGACATGCCATGAACAGCGTAGCAAAGCTTCCCCCATCCTCTCTCCACACCACGCGGACTATTTCCAATGACAAACGTCCCCACTCACACTGGTGCAATGGAGCAGAGGCAACGCTGTTAACAAGCCCATCCCTGTAATGGAAGGAGGTGGAGAACAGGGCTGTGAAAAAGAACTTTCTTTCTGACCCAATGCTGTTTCACACAGCTAATCTATGCAATCTTCATGAATCCTACCAGACTCAGAGTCATTTCTAAAAAAGTTGGACAGAAAGAGCCAAAGAGTAGCATGCATTTCACTCTTACAAAGACACTTTCAATTAGTTCTCCAAGTCTGAATACTGAGGCACACACCAATGAGTGAACAGCCCTGCAGGAGCTTCCTGAAACTATTTACAATTTCAAGTGGATCCCTGGCTAAAGAACTACATAGGGATCTTATCTGGGATGCTTTACATTGTTAAAAAGTCAACGACAGGCATTTTCTCTGATGTAGAAACAGAGATGGGGCAAGAGAGAGAGAACACAGGGAAGGAAGGAGAGGAGAGGCCAGGAGTTCCCATCTTCCTTTGTCTCAGCGGGGCCAGGAGCACTGGCCATTCTCAGCGGTCTGAGGGGCTCCCAGGGCTCCCTACTGAGGCAGTGGGCCAAGACCAGCAGCTACACTGGAGCCACTCTGTGGGGATATGGGCAGCACCCCAAAGTCCCCTGGATCACACAGGGACAGCATGGGCTCAGAGGCCCACCTCCTGCTGGGGCTCCTGACAGGCTGGTGGCTTGGCTGTGCCTCACTGGTGAGGCGGGGAGTGGGGGTGGGGAGAATAAGAGGAAATGGCTTCTGACCAGGCCTTTCCAAGCACATCTAATGGTTTTAGGTTAGATGATTTGATAAGCAAGTGTTGTGAAGCAGGGAGAAGCAGTGATGGGGGCACTGCTGCTCTGTTGTAACCAACGCCCTTAAGTTCCAAGATGGACTTATCAAGGGAACATAACGTGAAAAGCTTTGTTGGCACTGCCTCACTAACCACCGCCAACTGGTCGTGCTTCGGCTGAGGTAACTGCTGGTTTTACTTGGCTCAGGGGCTGCCGGGAGGGTTTGCTGCTGCTAAGGCATGCACAGTCTGCAGAGAAGCTCACGTGTCCATGGGGTGGGGGAGGGGTGGCTTTAAAGACCTGCCCTCAGTTCCCATCTCTAACACTTCTGTTTCTCTTCCCTTCTGCTTGAGAAAGATTCACCTTGACAAGGGAGACAGCGTGTAATGGAGTCAGCAAGAGGCTCTCATGAAGTTTCTTGAACCAGACCCGCAGGCTCATTCATCCTCTTCTCTTGACATGGGGTAGTGTCAGCGTGCTTTGGTTGTCACAAGACCCAGAAGTCTGGGTGCTCAGCTTAGCTGGCCCAAGAGTTCTTCATGAGGCAAAGGAAACGGCTGGTGCCCCAGGTAGAGCAGCCAACACAGAGACCACGTGTGTTCCTCCTGCCTCCACGCAGACGTGGGATCCCACAACAGTCTGATCCATGTGGCGAGCTATACAATGTTCTCCGCCCCGGGCAGGGGCCCCTGTGGGGGTCCACGGTCCTGCTTACTGTGCAACTGGGCCAACTGCAGAACTGGCATGTTGCACAGTGGACACACTTTCCGGACCTCCAGCCACTTAATAAGGCACCTGCAGAATGAGACACCACAGGAGGAAGCCATCAGTCCCACGCTCAGGGTACCCCCTGCCCACACGTCTCACATGCTGAACACACGTGTTGCCTAGAGCCGGACAGTGTGAACAGCCAGGTCCTCAGAGGCTCCACCGCTCGGTGGAGAACACATGTTATCCTCTGGGGGAACCAGAGCCTCCAGTCTTCCGAAAGGCGACAGTAAAACGCCACTGTCGGCATGCTACACCCTCATCATCCCCGGCTTCTTAGAGAAGGGAGTACACTGAGGAGGGTGGTGGGAAGTAGGAGAAATCACAGTTTCTAATAGAGACACAGAACACATAAAGTTGCAAGAGAAGGGGGAATATAAACATGCCTGCAGAAAAGGGGAGCCGGCCCCACACTACCGTCTACATTCAGACTTATTTATCTTGCTTTACAATAACTGTGGCTTTGATTAAAAGAAGTTTTTAAGAATGGAAGCTCTCACTGGAAAGTTCCAGTAAACAGCTGTTTATAGCCTGGGCTCCGAGGAGGTGTGGGCTCATCTGGCTCTCTGCCCAAAGTCCTGCCGTGGTGGTCATGTTCCACCACCTGATCCCGCCCAATGTCACGTACACACACCTGCCCCACCCTGTAGGGTGCTTTCTGCATTACAGACCAATCATGAAGCCATCGAGCTTGTCTGGCACTGTACCAAGCCCATAAGTAAGCTGGTCGATGTGCCATAAACTCAGGTCCCCTTAAATTAATTCCACACCAATACTCACTTTCTGTGGAAGGCATGCTTACATGGACAAATCCCCAACTCATCTCTAGGCTTGAAGTCTTCTAGACACACTGCACAGAGCTGAAAGATAAATTCACAGATGAGGCAAAGTGTCTGCTAAGTTCTCTCTCAGGCCGCAAAGTAAAGTGCAGAGCCCTGAGGCCCAGCCATTTGAAGGGACTTACAATGTCCCACAGTTCATTAAGTGAGAGACACAGGTTTGAATAGGCAAGGTCTTCTGAAGAAGAGTCTCCTGCTCTTTCTGCTGCACGTCTTTAAAGATGGAGGGCAGGGCCGGCCGAGTGGCGCGTTGACTAAGAGTTGGCTTGGGATGCCAGCTCTGAGCAGCAGGACCCGGATTTGGATCCCACATGGGGGCCAGTGACACTGCGCCCTCTACAGCTAAGAAGGTGAACAACAGCTCGACCTGGAGATGGGCTGCTGTGAGTCGCCAGCGACGGTGTAGGCTGCAGCCCCTGCTGCAGTGGGTTGCCATAAGTGTGTGGCTGGCAGCCAGCGTGAGCGGCTGGCAGCCGGTGTGAGCTGCCAAGTGCCACCGTGAGGGGCCGTCCAGAGGCCGGCGACCCATCTGCCTCATCTGGGAAGAGCGCAATGATAATACCAACATGGGCCAGTGAAGCAACGTCCTCCACAACTAGACTGAAGAACAAAAGGACAGCAACTTGTCTGTTCTCCTTCCTCCAATTCCCCAGCGCTGTTCCCCTCCCCCAATTCCCCAATAAAATCTTAAAAAAAAAAAAAAGAAAAAAAGATGGAGGGCAGATGGGAGAAGACAGAAAAAGCACTTTACTTCAGTGCATTAGAAGAGTCTGACTCAGGTTTCTTCTCCCTAGATAGGCTGGACACAATGTCACTTGCCTGTGGTGCGCAGAGAAAGGGCTGACTTTCCAGCAGGAGTGCTCTGCCTGCTCCGCAGCACAGCCCCTGGAGGGGACTGCTCACGCCCTGGGGCGGGTCCTGGGGCGCTCCTTTCTCTGGTACATGCTTTTTATAGCTCCTGGGGCCCCTCACTTTGGCCCTGTCCTTCTGTCAGTGTCATACAAAAAGTTATTCAAGAGTCTCTGAATTTAATTTTATGAAAATGTGCAGATGAGGCCAGGGTTGCTCTCTGACAGGTGGCTAGGTGCCACTGCTTGGAACGAGGCCTTCTCCTTTACACCCAAATGCTGGGTTCCAGCCACTATTTCTTGGGCACTTACCAGTGCTCAGGGACACCAAGTACTGTCAACATTTACCCACTTGACAGATGAAGAAACAGAAGCTCAGAGCAATCGCCACATTTCCTGAGGCCATGTAGTTGGTGAGTGCTGGGCCTGGCTGGGGACACAGGTCTGTTGCACTGATGAGTTGCTGTACCAGTTCTATCTGCTGCCCAAAGCTTGAACTCCTCACTGTTTGCTTCCCTGTCCATCTCCAGCGATCCTGGTTCAACTATCACCATTTCTTGCCTAGAGACTGACATGGCCTCCCTATCACTTGTTTTATAACCTATAACAAGTAACGCAGTCTTCTTAGGTTATGTGATAGGACATATGGCTCTTAGTCCCCTGTGGCCAGTGCTGTGGATGTTGGTCTTCCAGTGCCCTTCTCTAGGGAGCTTTCAGGGCCTTGTGTATAGAGCAGACAGGATCTTCACAGGCGGGGGAGATGGAGAACTGTCTTATCAGACTTGGCATTACTGCAGGAGAGACAGCAGGAGAGCAGGGAGGAGAGCAGGACAGACTGCTCCTCTTGGTTCAGACATCCACTAGCTGTGTGACCTCTGCCATAATGATGCCTCTCAAGCTCTGTTCCTTCATCTGTGAAGTGAAGACACTACCTACCCACCCCCATCACAGGACTGTCATCAGCTCAGGTTGGGAGTTGAGGGGGCAGAGCAGAGGAGGCAGTAAAGAAGTCTACCAGTACCAGTTGTTTTTATTCATGTTTAAATTTTGCAATGGCAGCGCTTTTTTCAAGCCCATTTTGTTTTCTGGGGGAAGGTTGAGAACAATTTGTGGGTAAAGACGAGAAACTAGCAGTTCCAGCCTTGGAGTGATCTTACAGCTGGGCCTCAGCTTCCCACGTGTAAAGGCAGGATGATGTTCCCACCTCCTAGACTGTGTGAACAGGCCTTCTGGCCTTCAACGCCCGCTTCCCTCACTCCCAGCACAGCCTTCTCGTCTCCTGAACACAGAACTGCTGGCTCTGCCCTCTGGAGAGTCAGTGCCGATCTGACCAAAGGGCAGGACGTTGGACAAGTCACTCATTTTTATTTGCTTATTTTTCCAGGGTCAAAAATTAGATTTGTAGCCTTTTCAAAATGGCATTACTATTAGTGGTTATAATGTGCTATTATATTCTTTTCAAATAAATTCTAAAACCATAGTCACCTGAAAAAAACAAAAGATAAATTCTGACATGTTACGTGCTAAAGGTGACCAAAAGCCAAGGGCAATCACGAAGAGAAAAGCCTCAGATCTGACTCCTTAGAAGTTCCCTGAAGGGTCAAACTAATTTTACAACTTTACAGATCATATTTTGCAAATGAGCTTTACTTCGCAGTGTATTGGGAACAGACTGTTTCTCCAGTCGGAGTTCCCATCCTTTTTTAAAATGGAGATATAATTCACATACCATAATATTCACCAGTTACAGTGTACAATTCAGCAGTTTTTAGTATGTTCAGAGTTGTGCAACTGTCGCCACTATCTAAATTCCAGAACATTTTCATCTCTTTCCCCCAAAAGCCCATACATACCATAAGCAGTCACTCTCTATTCCACCTTCTCCAGTCCTTGGAAACCACTTTTGGTTAACTTTAATAAACTTTCTGTCTTAATGGATTTGTTTATTCTGCCCATTCCCAGAATGGAATGGAATCATAAAATGGTATTATGTAGTATGTGGTCTTTTGTGTCTGCTTTCACTTAGCATGTTGCCTTCAAGGGTCATCCATATTGTAGCATGAATCGACACTTCTTTTTTATAGCTAAACAGTATCCAATATATGGATATACCACATTTGTTTATCCATTCATCTGTTGATGGCCACTTGGGCTGTTTCTGCCTTTTGGTTATTGTGAATAATGTTGCTCTAAACATTGGTGTACAAGTATCTTTGAGTGTTCAATTCTTTTGGGTATATATGTCTAAGAGTAGAGTTGCTGGGTCATATGGTAACTCTGTTTAACTTTTTTGCGGAACTGCTAAACTATCTTCCAAAGTGGCTGCACCATTTCACATCCCCACAATTAGTGTATGAAAGTTTCAGCTTCTCCTTCTCTTCAGGTTATTATTATTGTCTTTTTTTGATATAGCCATCCTAGATGGTATGAAGTTGGCATCTCATTGTGGTATTGATTTGCATTTCCTTAATGGCTAATGATGTTGTGCTTATTGGCCATTTGTATATCTTCTTTGGAGAAATGTCTATTCAAACCCTTTGCCCATATTTTAGTTGGGTTATTTTTCTTTTTATTATTGAGTAGCAAGAGTTCTTTATATATTCTAGACACAAATCCCTTATCAGATAGCCAACTGATTTTGACAAAGGTGCAAAAATATTTCAATGGAGAAGGACAGCTTTTTCAACAAATAGTAGTGGAGCAACTGGACATCCACAGGCATCAAAAGCATATGATTCCTGGCTGGCCGAGTGGCTCAGTTGGTTAAGAGTTAGCTTAAGAGTGCACGCTCTGAGCAACAGGGCTGCTGGCTCAATTCCTACATGGGCCAGTGACACTGTGCCTGAGCTGAGCTGCCGCTGAGCTGCCAACAGGTGGCAGGATGGCTCAGCTGGTGAGAGCACATGATCCTAACAAGGTTGCCTGTTCAATGGTGGGATACACCTGCCTACAACTAAGACTGATCTCGGCACCTTGAGCTGAGCTGCCACCCAGATGGCTCAGTGGATAGAGTGTGTGCTCTTAACAACAAGACTGCTGCATGGGATGGTGGCTACGCCTACCCGCAACTAAGATTGTAACACAGCACCTTGAGTTTAGAGGCCACAAGCTGCCAACAGGCAGCCAGATGGCGACTGGTGCCCTCCACAACGAAGATTGCGGAACAACAACTTGGATGGTTCCCCTTCCCCAATTCCCCAACACTGTTCCTCTCCCTCAATTCCCCAATTAAAAAAAAAAAAAAAAAACATGATTCCTAAAGCATAAGCAACCAAAGAAAAAAACCTGATGAACTGGACTTCATCAAATTCAAAAACTTTTGTTCTGCAAAAGACCCTGTTAGGGTGAAAAGACTAGGATAAATTATTTGCAGATATTTTTATTTTATAGGCTTTTTATTACTGAGTTGTAAGAGTTCTTTATATATTCTGGATACTAGACTCTTATCAGTTACAAGATTTGCAAATATTTTCTCACTGTGGGTTGTCGTCATAATGTTGATAACTTTGAAGCACAAAAGTTTTTAAGTTTGATGAAGTACAATTTATTTTTTTCCTTTGGTTCTTTGTTTGTTAGGTGTCATGGCTAAGAAACCATTGTCTAATCCAAGCCCATAAAGACTTATATCTATGTTTACTTCTAAGAGTTTTGTAATTTTAGTTGTTACATTTAGGTCTTTGATCCATTTTGTATATGATGTGAAGGAGGGCTTCAATTTCTCTTTTGCATGTGGTTATCTAGTTATCCCAGCACCATTTGTTGAATAGACTGACTACTCTTTTCCCATGGAATTGTCTTGGCACCCTTGTTGAAAATCAACTGACCATAAATGTCTGGGTTTACTTCTGAACTCTCAATTCTATTCTCTTGATCTGTATGTCTGTCCATCTGCCAGCCTTAATTAAGACTGTCTTAAATACTGTAGCTTTGTGGTAAGTTATGAAATTGGGACGTGTGTGGCCTTCAGCTCTGTTCTTCTTTTTCAAGATTGTTTTTGGCTATTCTGGGGTCCCTTGCACTTTCACATGAATTTTACGATCTGCTCATCAATTTCGACCAAGAAAAAAAAAAAAGGCAGCTGTGATTTTGATAGAGATTGTGTTGATTCTGTAAATATTTTGGGGAATACTGCCATCTTAACAATAGTAAGTCTTCCAAACCATGAACATGGAATATCTTTCCATTTATTTAGGTCTTCTTTAATATCATTCAATGATGTTTTGTAGTTTTCAGCATATAAGTCTGAGCTTCCTATGGAACCCAGGGCAGAGCAAGGCTACAGTGTGTCTGCCACATGATTTCTCACCTACTACATGCCTGACCTGGCAAAACTGACCTAAAGATGGCTCTTCCTGGTTCTTGTGCAGCTAGGATCCCATCTGCTGCTGAGGTGCAGAGGGGAGCAGGTTTTCCTTTCCTTTCTATATGTACATGCAATACCACTCTGAAGGAAGGAGGGATGGACCCAAACTTGTTCAAATTTGGAAGCTATGTAGATGGTTGTACCACTGTACTACGGATGTGGCCTCAGAATTCTGCTATGCATGTGCTGACTGGCGCATGGCAGTAGCAGGTGGATGAAGTCTTCTCTGGTTGGGTAGCAGGATAGAAAGAGTGTAATGCAGGAAAAAGGTCTGAAGAAATCAGAGCTGAAAAATTCTTAAGCTTGGTGAAAGACAAACCTATATATCTGTGAAAATGAGTAAAACTCAAACAGGATAAATCCAAAGAAATCCATGCCTACACATCATAATCAAATAGCTAAAAACTTAAAGACAGAGAAAAAAATCTTGAAAGCAGCCAGAGGAAAAGGATGCATTACTGATAGAACAATGATGTGAAAAACTGTTGATTTCTCATCAGAAAACCATGGAGGTCAGTAGGAAGTGGCACAATATTTTAAAAGTGCTGAAAGAAAAGAATTATCAACCCTGAGTTCTATATCCAACAAAAATATCCTTCAGGAATGAAGGTGAAATAAAGATATTCTCAGATGAAGGCAAACGAATAGAATTCATAGCCAGCAGATCTGCCCTAAAAGAATTGCTAAAGGAAGGTGATCAAATAGAAGAAATATGACACAGGAAGGGAACTGGCAACACTGGGAATGTTAAATATCTGGATAAATATAACAGACTATTATTCCTCTCTTAAATTCTTTAAAATATATCTAATGGTTAAAAGTAAAAAAATGTAACACTGTCTTATGGGATTTTCAATGTATATAGGTGTGATATGACAGGTATTGCATAAAGGGGGAAAGGTAAAGGGATCTATATGGACACAAACTTTCTATTTTCCAGTTGAAGTGCTAAAAATTGATTCTAAATATTTATTTTGTAATCCCTAAGCAACCACTAAAAAATTATACAAAAATATAGTCAAAATCACAATAGATAAAATGGAAAACTAAAAATGTTCCAATAACTGAAAAGAAGGCAGGAAAAGGGAAACAAAGAAACCAAAAAAGAGGGAAAAGCAGAAGACAAATAATAAAATGGTAGACCTATTTCCAAACATATCAATAATTGCATTGACTGTAAATGGTCTAAACATACCAATTAAGAGAGGTTGGCAGAGTGAATTAAAAAACATGACTCAACTATATACTGTCTATAAGAAAACTCATTTCAAATATAATTATATAGGTAGACTGAAAGTAATACAAGGATGGAAAAAGATATACCATGCAAACATTAATCGAAAGAAGCTGGAGTGGCTATATTTGTATCAGACAAAGATTTCAAAGCAAAGCAAAGTACCAGGGATGAAGAGGGGCATTATAAAATTCAATTCACCAAAAAGACATAAAAATCCTAAATCTGTATGCACCTAACAACAAAGCTTCAAATAAAGAAATAAATGGAAAGACATAATGTGTTTATAAATTAGAAGACTCAGCATGGTAAAGATGCCAATTTTCCCCTAACTGCTTTATAGCTTTAATGCACCACTAATCAAAGTCCCAGGATTTTTTTTTTTGGTATATATAGACAAGCTGATGCTAACATTTACATGAAGAGCAAAGGTACTTGGCTAGCTAAAACACTATTAGAAAAGAAGAATAAGGTTGGAGGAATCATACTACTTGATTTGAAGATTTACTATAAAGCTACAGTGATCAAGACTGAAGAGACAACAGACACATAAATCAATTGATCAAAAGAGAGAATCCAGAAACACTCACAAAAATACAGCCATTTGATTTTTGACAGAGGTGCAAAAGAAATTCAATGGAGAAAGCAACCACTCGTCATAACTAGAGCTGGAGACACTCTGAGGAACAAACCAAAAACAAAATGCAAATGGCAAGTAGATCATAGACTAGTGTGAAGACTCTCAGGCTTCTCCTGAAAAAACCCCAGCTCTCACAACGACTGGCCTGTATTCCCCCACAGCAACAATGAGCCAGAGCTGAGTGCTGGCAACTTCTTTACACAGGACCTGCAGGCCCAGTGTGTCACAGCTTCCATGACACCTTTCTGTTTCTCTTGACCCCCGAGACTCCCTTAGATGCCATTTAGTATCCCACTTGCATGGCTAGAACTAGAAATGTTTTAGAGATCTGCTTCTCTATGTCTGTATTAAAAGATGGAGAAAGAACAGATAAACTGGGAAAAATATGGGCTTTAAGACAGGATATTTTTCTTTATAGAAGGACAATATATTCTCATGTTTTGAAAAAATATATATGTCACCCCTTAGCTTCATTTATTATGTGTTGCTTGACTCCTAGACTGGTAGAAAAAAATTAAAAAATGTTATAAATAGTCACAGCTGTAGAGCCAACTGTCTAGGAAGCTGGGGGTGGTGATGGTGATGTCTGGGTATCTGAGTCTGCAAGGTGCCAGGAAGGCTCCCTTAGAGGAGCAAAAGCCAAGAAGCAGCTATGTGATTACGCAACACCGGGCTCAAGAGCCCCTCGGCGTAGACTCCAGACAACAGCACCCTTCTGCACATTCTGACTTTCTCGTTTACCATCTCCTCTACAAGACTGCTAACTTCTTGAGAGCAGACATTAGTATGTTATGCTTCTTTGTGTCTCCAGGGTTTAGTACACTGTCTGACATGTTTTATATATTCAGTAATTTAAAAATTATTTTAAAATTAATGTTTACTTATTTTCCTTCTTTAAAACTAAGAGCATTGCATATAAAACTAACATCCCTTTTGTAGGACTAAGCTATGTATCACTGTATATTAGGCTACAGGAATGCATAAGGATACAAAAGTTTGACAAAAAATAGTTTCATCACCACGAAATGCAACTGGAAAGGACCAAGTGAATTGTGAAAAATACATGATGGCCTCTAGAAACAAGCTGTAGAGCAAGGTTAGGTTTTCCCAGCTATAGCTTCAAACAACAGGGGGATTAGTAGCTTGGTCAGACTCAGCGAAAATGGAATTGGTGGGTACAGCTAGGATATTAACTCTGATATACAATGATGCAACACAATGCACGTATTTAGGATAAAGATTCTAAACTGATGGGTCAAACCAAGAAGGGAGACTCTGTTCCTGACAAACCTGGTTATTCAAAATTGCTAATGTATGTCAGAATTTAATCTTTTCATTTATGACCATCAAAAAGACCCTAAATAGAAAAGAGATTGCCTTCTATTACTTTATATGAATTTTGGCCACGTGCCAAAGTTAATTTTTGGGAAAATTTAGAAGTCAAACAGTAATCAATGCTTGAGTTTAATCCAACATTAGGTTTAAAATGCTGTACCATATCAACTCTTTGATAAAAAACATGCAGAAAGAGCAAAGGAGCAGTAGATGATTTCAAAGTGTTCAACAATAATATAAACCATTTTTGCTAATACTCAAAGAATTTCACAAACGAACTATCTTTAAATAGGCTGGCTATGTAGCTTCAATACAGTTAGACTATAAAAAGTAGATATTACAATGTATGGCTTTCCAAGTCCTTGCTTTAAAACACTAATTCAAAAGCTCAGAAAGGGAGGAAGAAAAAGAGCTCTAAAACTAAAAATAAAAATGCTGAACATGTTTAGTCATAGGCAACACAAGGAACAAAAGGAGGAAGAATTCTTACAGACTATGAGTTTTAAGGTGTACAGCAGGACAACACACACTTTTGTATTTAAGTTACAAAGGATGATAACGCAGCGAACAACTATGAACCAACCACACAGCCTCAACACTAGACAAATCCAAGGGTTCATATGTTCTTCCCAATTCCATCCCTCTGCCTCACCTCCTCAAACTCCCTACCAACCCCAAGAAGTAATCACTGCCTTTTTTTGTGACATTGATAAGCAGGGACTATTGGAAACATTTTCTAGAGTGAAAAATACCGCAAATTCATTTTGAAGGGAAAAACTAACTAGTATCTGTCTCCTACTCATACAGCATGGACAGTAAGTAGCACCCCTGCTGCCATGAAATCTTACATTGCTACCATCTCTAGTAAAAATATGAGCTATGCTACTTTCAAAGCCTTCACACAGTTGATTTTTATGTGACCTTACTCTTAAATACTCTACTAAACTGATCAAAATAAACCTCATTTTTTTCATCTTCTGAAAATAAAGATGTTTAAGCATACTGCAGTATACCACTTCTATTAGAAAATAGCTCAAGAAAAGATTTAAATCCTTATAAGGCAACTTACCTCATGTAAATTCAGTTCTTTTACTTTCTCTTTTAATATAACCTGTAAGAAAAAAAATGTATGTTCTTATGCCCATTTAAATCTGTAATTAAAAAAATTTCCTCATTATATTCACAAATATTTTTCTATTATGTGTATAGCTCATTTCCCCTCATAGTCAATATTGGAGAGAATCTCTTTTACAATTTGAGACAGAACATTTTAGCAACATTCTTTGAACTTGACTAATGATGCAATATTCTCCTGGAAAGTAATAAAAAAATCTCTTTGACAATAAATTAAATCTTGGGAAAAGACATTAACACATGCCCATGTGGACTAAGTGCTAATATGGGGGAAAGTAAATGAGATTGATTGCCTTATGATTTAGTAAAACACAGCATTGGCTGATGGGACTGATTGATTAGTAATTTATAAAAGATTAAAAAGATCAATCTTTCAGAAGTTTAGCTGCTTATACATCACTATCCTCAGAAAACTTTAGCTCTACCCAGAGTTATGTAAATAGGTTTAAAATTCATCCAGGTGCTGTCCCTAAACTGACTTTGTAGTGACTGTATCAGTTACTACATGTAGTATCAGTTACTACATGTAGTATCAGATACTAAAATGTAGTATCAGTTAAAATGAATGCCAAGTGATAAGAGGGCAGATTACTATTTAAATGGAAAATTTCTGAGAATAAACTTAGCTTATTAAGAGTTATATTTCATCTTATAGTGAAAAAACAGGTAAGTGAAATTTGGGGAAAATCTCTCAATTTTGAGTATCTTATATTCCTGAACCAAAAATAGTTCTGAGGGCAAATCATATTTTCAGAAATCACAACCAGATGCTACCATCTAGCTATGCACGGATGTATTAAATTTCCAATTCAGTATTTTTTAAAGACAATTTTTACCATATGTCTTGTGACTTTATTAGTTCTATCAGTCATTTTCCCCCTTTAAACGGCCACCAAGGTCAATTTTACTTTCTAGTTAGCTTACATACACATATCTTATAGCTTGATGTCTTAGCCTGACAGAATTGAGACAAGATTCATTCACTTAGAAAACTAAAACATTCCACTATATGTATGAATCCCACATGAGACTTAGGGGGAAAGGGTGAGGTTACCTACAATATCAGTGTGGACAGCTAAGGAACTAACTCAATGCACTCAGATTTCAAAAAAATATGGACAAAGGATGGACAAAAAGATATGCAATCCTAAAATGGTGACATGGTTCTGTAACACATTGTGTCAGCAAGGTTAAAGACCCAAAGAAGCTGAAGCTTGACCAAAAAAAAGGAAGAAAGCAAGCAAGCTAAGAACAACAAAAATAATTTCATGCTTAGGGCCAAAAAAAATCTAAGCCCACTGTTTGGTATCAGTGGTAAAATGTGAGTGGATGACACATGGAAGAAAAAACAAACTTTACTTGGCCTTCAAGAAAAGCTAGTATTTTAAAGTTTATTATTTTAAAGAACAAATCAATAAAGGGATAGTACAAAGAGGAAGGATTAACAGTGATGATGCAAATATCTGGATTTGTAGCGCTGTGACATAAGCTAACATTTAAAGTACAACAGGGGAGGAGATGAGATAACTATTACAAAGCTGGTCATTTCTGAGGAACTGGTATGTGTTCTAATGAAGAAAGAGGTAAAAAATTCATTTAATGGAATCTCTGAACTCCAGGTAACAGTAACTTTAAGGATTATAGGCTACAGCATTTCTCTTTAGCAAAATGTTGGCTAAAGTTCCCTGTTAAATTATATTATTATATCATATGAACTATAACTCCAAATAATAAGAAAGAAGAGTACTTAAAGTGAAGGTGATATATCATGTACTGCAAAATGGCAAGTGAAATGCTAAAATGAACACAAGTAAATTGAGTCCTAGCTTAAAATATGAGTGGAAATCTGAATTCTCTTTTTTTGATAAAAACCATGATCAAAGCCAATTTGAAGTAAATTTCTCACCTGTTTGTAGGCATAAAATTCTTTGTGCGCTTGATGTCTTAGCCTAAAAGACAGAAATGAACAATGCTATATTGAGATTTCCAATATAACTATTTGAAAACATTTAAAAACCTGATTTTTGGTATTAGTTTATATCATTTATGGTTTAAAATCCAGAATCTTTATTCTGGAATATACCCAAATGACGTACCTGTGACCATGTTATGAGAAAATGACCAGTGAACCATAAAATGTTATCCAAATGTAAGTTCAAGTGAAATCTCATTAAAACAAAATCTCAATATAACAAATATTTTAATGAAGCCTCAATTCTTTTTATATTGATAATCCACTTGTTTCAATATTTAATATATCATTTTTCTTAATTCTAGTATAACATACATCTAATAATGTACAAAAACTTTAATACAGCTAAATATTAAACACACACACACACACACACAAGTGTAACTATCACCCAGATCAAGATTTAGAACATTTCCAGCACCCCTTAAATTACTTCTCCTAATCAATACCCACCCCTAACAGGTACCCACTATCCTGATTTCTATCATATGTAGAAGTTTTTGAACTTCACATAAATAGATCATTTGGTACATGCTCTTTTGCGTTGGCTTCTTTCAGTCACCGACTGTGAAATTTATTCATGTTGCAATAATTGTCTTTTTAACTGACATAGCGTTCCACTGTATGACCACAAAACAATTTATTTGTCCATTCTACTATTGACAAATATTTAGAGTACTTCCAGTTTTGGGCTATTATGAATAAAGTTGCTATACCAGTTCTTCTACATGCCTTTTAGTGGACATATAGACTCATTTCTGTTGAGTATATACCAGTAGAACTGCAGGTGCAAGCGCTTGTACCAATTTCTGCTTCTATGGGTAAACACGCGAGAGTTCTAGTTCCACATTTTTGCCACTGCTTGGTAGGGTCAGTTTAAAATTTCTTAGTCAATCTGATGTGTGTTCAATGGTACCTTATTTTGGTTTTAATTTGCACTTCCCAAATTATGTTTAGAACCCTTTCATATGTTTATCCTCTTTTAATGAAATGGATATCCTCTTTTAATGAAATGCCTGTTCGAGTCTTTTGCCCATTAAAAACAATGGGTTGTCTTCCTTTTTAAAATTGATTTGTAGGAGTTCCTTATATATTTTAGATGCAAGTCCTCTGTTGAGCCTATGCACTGCAATTATCTTCTCCTACTCTATGGCTTGCCTTTTCGTTCTCTTAGTGGTACCTTTGGTGAACAGAAGCTTTTAAATTAAATCCAATTTATCAACTCTTCCCAATAACGTCAGTTATTCTGTCCAGTTAATCTTTGCCTACCCCCAGATTAAGATCCTCTTGTGTGTACTGTGAAAATCATTTGTTATTTTACCTATTACATTTAGGTATATAATCCATCTAAAATTAGTTTTTATGTATAATTTGAGGTAGAGGTCAAGATTTTTATCCACATGCAGATTTTCATTTGACTCATTTATTAAAAAGACCTGCTTTCCCCACAGCATGGCAGTGGCACATCTGTTGTAAGTCAGACCCAATATGTGTTTGTTCCCCGAGTTTTTATTCCTTTCCTTTGGTCTATTTGCCTATACTTGTGTACTGGGTTAAACAGTGTTCCCTCAAAAATTTATATCCAATGGGAACCTCAGAATGAAAACTTATTTGGAAATAGTCTTGCATATTAGTTAAAATTAGTTAAAATTTAGGGTGGACCCTAAATCCAATATGACTGATGTCCTTAGAAGAAGAGAGGAAATACAGAGACACAGGGAAGACGGCCAGGTGAAGACAGACACAGAGACTGAAGTGATGCAGCTACCAGCCAAAGAACACCAAGGATTGCTGGAAACAACCAGAGACTAGGAAGAGGCAAGGAAAGATCTTCCAGAGCCTTCAGAAGGAGCATGGTCCTGCTGACACCTTGATTTTGAACTTCTAGCCTCCAGAATTGTGAGATTAAATTTCTGTTGTTTTAAGCCACCCAGTTTGTGGTACTTGGTTATAGCAGCATTGGGAAACTGATGCACCTTGTGTCAACACCATGCTAGTTTTTTGTTTTTTTTTAAAACTTGTATTTTGAAATAATTTTAGACTTACAAAAAATTTGCAAAAAAACCGGAGTTCACATATACTTTTCTCCCAGGTTTTCCAATGTTTGTATCTTATACAATAGTACAATGATCTAAACAAGTACATTAACAGATATATTGATATCAATGTTGATATAACAAAACAGGCTTTATTTGAATTTCCCATTTTTTTCCCTCTTCCTAATGTCCTTTTCCTGTTCTATGATCCAATCCAAGATTCCACCTTGCATCCAGTTACATTTCCTTAGCCTTCTCCAAACTGCGACAGTCCCTTAGTTTTCCTTGTCTCCTAAGATTTTGACGTATTAACCACGATCACTAGGTTATGGCAGTGTCTACTGAGTCTCTCCACTGTAGTTACTATTTTGCCCTATGTAACTGATCAACATCTTGGGGGAGAGATGTTGAAACTATGCAAACATCCTATTTATTCTCAAGCATTTGCCCACTGATTTTAGCACCCATCTTGCTTGCAACAATTACTGTAGTGTTTGCCTGGTGGTGGTTTTGTAGTTTCCTAATTCCTTGTACATTTATTAAATGGAATTCTTCTGTAAGGAAAAGATGTCCCTTCTCCCTCATTTATATCAGTATGGATTCATGGATATTTTAGCCTATGGGTTAGAATTCAATATTATCATTTATTTTATTGCTCAAACTGATATAGGTTTGGTCTTCAGCAGCTCTATCAGGTTGAGTCCTGTGTCCTTTCAACATGCCTCATCCTTCTCCATGCATTTCCTTGCTTACTGGCACTGAAAGATGTTCTAGGCTCATCTTGTATTTTCCATGCCACAGTGGTGGAATTAACCACTTCTTCCAAAGAACCTTGGTTCCTTTTATTGGAGAATAGTATTTAGAAACCAAGATCTGGGTGCTAGGTGAATCACACTCTGTTTTCAGTACTGGAGCTCTGTAAAAGTTTTGGGGGCTGGTAGTATAAGTCCTCAAGCTTTGTTCTTAACTATTGTCTTGGCTATTCTTGGTCCTCTGTATTTCCATATAGATTTCATGAGCCTGTCGATTTCCAAAAAAAAAAATCTGTTGGGATTTTGACTGAAATTGTATGGAATTTATAGGTTAACTGGGGAAGAGTTGACATTTTCGCAAGATTGCGTTTCCAGCCTATGAACATAGTATATTCCTCCATTAGATCTTTAATTTCTCTCTACACATTTCTAGGTAGAATACTCATGCATCTTTCATTAGATTTAGTCCTAGGTATTTGGTAATTTTTGATCTACTATAAATGGTATTTAAATTTTTTTCATTTTCTAATTCTTTATAGCTGCTATATAGAAACAATTTTTGTATGTTAATCCTGTATCTAGTGACTTGCTAAGTTCATTTATTAATTTTAAATGCTTTATTTGTAGAATCTTTGGGATTTTTAAGTATACACAGTCATTCTGTCTACAAATGAGTTTAAACTCTGCCTTTATAATCTTAATATATTTTACTTTTTTATTCTTTATTTCATTCCTTTTTTTTCCCTGCACTGGATGTTAAATAAAAGTGGTGGTAGTGAATGTCCTGATCAATAAGTCACTATTAAGTATGCTGTTTTCTCTAGAGTTTTTTGTATATAACCTTGATTCAAACAAATTTCCCTTGTATCCTAGTTTGATTTTTAAAAAAATCACAAATAGGCATTGGTTTTTATCAAATGCTTTTTTCCCATCACTTTTTTCTTTTTACTGTTAATGTAGTATATGTGTATTAACAGTACCTTCATTTCTGGAATAAACCTCACTTGGTCATAATGTACTACTTTTTTTGCACATCCTTGAATTTGATTTACTATATTTTGTTCATGAGAGAGATTAGTTTATAATTTCCTTTCTTGTAATGTCCTTGTGATGCTTTGGAATAAAAATTATGCTGGCCTCACTATATGAATCAAGAAGTATTTCTTCTATTTTCTGGAAGAGTATTTAAGAGTGGCATGTTTTTCTTAAATGTTTGAAGGAACTCACTGGTAAAGTTACCTGGCTTGCAGTCTCTTTGTGGGACTGCTTTAATAACACATTCAATTTCTTAATTATTAATATTTTCTATTTCTTCTTGAGTCAGTTTTATTATTCCTTTAATTAAAAAATTTAATATTCCTTTATTTGTATTCATATAACTTACAATTAACCATCTTAAAGTGTATAAATTCAGTGGTATTTAGTGTAGTTACAATGTTGTGCAACCACCAGCTCTCTCTAGTTTCAAAACTTTTTCATTACCCCTCAAAAAACACCTGGTCTCACTAAGTAGTCACTTCCCTTTTCCCCCCTCTCATCAACCCATGGTAACCTCTAATCTACTTTCTCTCTCTATGGATTTGCCTATTATGGATATATTAGATAAAAGAAATCATACAATATGTGACCCTTTGTGTCTGGCTTTTCATTTAGCGTAATATTTTCGAGGCTCACCCTAATTGTAGCATGTATCAGTACTTCACTCCCTTTTTAATGGTTGAATGTATGCCATACTTTTGTTTATCCATTCATCTGTTGATGGTCATTTGGGCTGTATTCGCTTTTTGGCTATTATGAAATAATGCTGCTAAGAACATTCCTGTATAAGTTTCTGTATAGACATATCTCTTTATTTGCCTTAGGTATACACCCAGGAGTGAAATTTCTGGGTCGCTCATATGGTAATTCTATGTTTAGCTTTTTGAGGAACCGCTGAACTCTTTTCTACAGCAGCTGCACCATTTTGCATTCCCACCAGCAACATATGTGGGTTCCTATTTCCCCACATCCTCACCAACACTTGCAATTTTCCATATTTTTTATTACAGCCTCTTAGTAGGTGTGAAGTGGTATCTCATTGTGGTTTTAATTTGCATTTCCTTAATGACCAATAATATTGAACGTCTTTTTGGGAACATATTTTCATGTGCTTATTGGCTATTTGTATATTTTCTTCAGAGAAATGGCTA